TAACGGGGATGCTGAGCCCCCAGCCCCGGATAACGGGGGATGCTGAGCCCCCAGCCCCGGTTAACGGGGGATGCTGAGCCCCCAGCCCCGGATAACGGGGATGCTGAGCCCCCAGCCCCGGATAACAGGGGGCTGACCCCCTGCCCCTTCAGATAACGTGGCCGCAGGTGGTGACTCCCGGCAGGTCCCCACACCGCCCTCGGGACGTGTCGGAGCATCACCACGAGCTGCCACCAGGCGGGTGGTGTAACTTGGGTGGGTTTCTGTGGTTTCCCTTCCTGTGCAGTAACTCGGATCACTAAGGGCAGAGCTATGGAAATGATGACAAGCAGAGTCAACAGAAGTAATCTCTGGGACGCTGCACCAGTAAACGAGAACAAGGAGAACTTAGGGATTGATTTTTGACACTACTGTGACTTTTCACCACAGCCACATCCTATCTAGGTGTGAGTGGAAGTGGTAGAAGTCCTCAGGTGGGCAATGAGTTGTACTGAAGTTTTACTTCTTGATATTGTTGATGTGGGTTTTGGCCTTCCAGTTAGGAGGTGTTGGTGTGTGGCTGGGTCAGGACATTTTGGAGATGATGCACTGAGATAGCACAACTGACAGGTTCCCTCACTGGAAGCTGGAATGTTTTCCTGTTACTTCCATTGTTCAGAAACAGGCAGCGGAAAAGTCCTGATTTATTTTATGTTTTTCTGTTTGCAACCAGAGAAGGAAATGTATTTATAAGATTACTTTGCATATGAAGCCTTTGGCTGGGTAATTTGAGTTGTTGTATAAATAACTGTGGATCTCTTTGGGCCTGATGCCCAATGGCACATCCTGGCTCTGGTATCTTTGGAGAGGATCTGCACTTTATGTGTAACTATGTTAGTTATTGATACCTCACTACGGTCACGTCAGTGCCAATCTTGTCTCTGTGAGCCTTTCCTGAACATGCTGCTGACGTGGTTTCTCCTGCAGCTCTCATGTGATCACCATAAAATATGGAGCAAGTGGCATTAGACGTAGTTTTGGTTATTGGGTGTTGTAATTTTGGGGTTTTCCCATGTGAAATGCTCTGTGATGCTTCTGTGAAGACACGTAGCTCACTTTGAAATTGGCGTTTTGTTTTCAGTCAAGGCACATTTTTGCTGTTTGACAGTGGTGCACTTGTTTGGATTGTGGAGACTTTGCAGAAGGAAATAAATCACAAATGAACCATGTGCCCCACCTCAAGCTGTAACAAGAACTTTCCCCTTCCATCTTAGCCTCCAGCACTAAGTGTGTATTATAAATTCTTAATACAGTTTGATGGTCCAAGTGATAATTTCTTGCTAAAGTAATGGTAACCGTTCCAGTCAGCCTTAAAGGCATTGAAGACTGATTCAATTAAGTTTTTTTATATTGTTAATAGTCTTATTCCTTTATAGTTGTTTATTTCTTCAAGAGGTTGCTTAGACTTGCCCACCACGGCAGGCTATAAATCCAAGGTGGGGGCTTGCCTGTCTTTCAGCTGAGGAGAAGATTCCTGTAGCAGGTTTAGGGATGCTGTCAGCCAGCACTTAGTGTGGGGTCAAGCCTTTGTTTTCAGCCTTTGGGGTGGGCAGGGATGGGGATCACCTCCAGGAGCTGCAGAACCAGCTCATCCCACAAATGCCAGACATGTTTCTTGTATCTCATAGAGTCTTCCACAAGACAGCATCTCTCTCCCTTCTTGTATTGTGAATAAACAACACATGGGTGCTAAATAAAGCATCCTCTTTGCTCAATCTTGAAATTTGACATCATTTGAGGTGTGACTTTTACAGGAAATTCTGACTCTCCAGAGTAGGAAGGTGATGTTTGTGAGTGCTGGATGTCACCCTGGGACATCCCTGCTTGGCAGCACGCTCCTGGCAGCCTGTTAGGAGTCTTAGCTGGCAGGATAAGGAACTTCCTGTAGCTCTGTGAATGCTTCCCAGGCCACATTTTGTCATGGCTTTAGCTGGGTAGCTTTTGAAACCACCAGCTCGTCACTTGATCCCAGAGTTACCTTCAGCTGGTGTCTTCCATTGACAGAGAAATAATGCATGAGGAGTTTCTGGCCATGAAATTCTTTATGGAGGTTTTATTTCATGTCCAGCTAATTTTGTACCTCATCCAATTTCCCACATCCAACGGGTCTGAGAATTGTGGTTTCCTTAGATGTGCACCTGTTACAGCTGGAACAGAACTCGAGTTCCAGCGATGCTGCCCCAGAGCTAGCAGGGTATTAGTGTGTGGGGTATTAGTGTTTCACTGCTCACATGAAGTTCCTCTGGCTTGTCTGAAAACAGAGGAACATGATTGCCACTGCTGCCTGTGAGTCACTCTGCTTGGGGGAGAGAAAAGCACTTGGGAATTGAAACTTCAGTATTGGTCCACTTCTGTATAAATGCTCCTTGGACAGCACTCTGCCCTCAGCTGTCTTGCACAACTTAGAGACTAATGAAAATCAAAGCATAATTTGGCTTTTAATTAGATTTCTGATCAAAACCTAATGCATTTGGCCAGAGAAGTAGTGCTAACAGTGATTTATTTCAAGGAACATTCAGTATAAATATCCAATTTAGGCACTTTAATAGGCACTCTTGGTTTAAAAAAGTGACAATTTCTGCTCTTTTGTAGATGATTCCTATTCTGGCCTCGGTATTTGTGGATGGATCCTGGTGATCACCTCGCTTATTTTCACTGTTCTTACATTTCCTATATCAGTATGGATGTGCATAAAGGTAAAATTGTTCACTGCTAATTTGAAGTAAAACTTTCAGCAATGCAGAGTGGCTGTTACCATTCTCAATTGGATTTACATGTTCTAAACACAAATTAATCTAGCTCTGTTCTTTCTCGAGCTATAGTGGACCCCAGCACTGCAGTGCATTCATCTTCAAACCAAAAATAAAAGTGGTACTACAATATTTGGTCAAAATAATTCCTACACTTGATGTTTTCACTTCATCTGCCCAGTTGTTATTAGTAAATAAGCTCATTTGAAGCATCAGAATAATTGCAAGAGCCCATAAGTACTCTTAGAGAGCTGATATTTTTTAAAGATCTCTCCCTGTATATTACACATCTAAATATGAATTATGTAAATAGGAATCTGTAATTATGTACATAGATGTGGCTGCATGTGACACATTTGAAGACACAGTGTTGTCTGTGATCACTCTGAGGTTGATGTTTGCAGTTTCCAGACAGGAGGAGTTATTTCCTCCTGGCTTGGCTGATGTGGCATTAGAATTGGAGCTGGAGAAATCCCTGCTGGGTCACAAATGCTGCACTCTGTTGTGTTGTTGCCAGGATATTCCTGATGGCTGCTGCTGGTGCCTGGACCTGCCCAGGTGCCATCCTGTTGAGAGTCTGAGGAGTATTTCTTGTGGACTATTGTCCTGGTGTTTTTCCTTTTGCATTTGACAATAAAGTTTTAGCTAAAATTCTCAAAAGCAGCCAGTAGAGAAATGTGTATTAAATTTGAGACTCAAGACTGTCCTAGCCTGGTGTGTGCATAATTTGGAATCCATCATGTGACTTCTGGAAAGCCGTGCATGACATGCAACAATCTGTTCCAGATTGTCAAGGAATACGAGCGAGCCATCATCTTCCGACTTGGACGCATCCTAAAAGGGGGAGCAAAGGGACCAGGTATGTCCTGGACAGCAATTTGTTCCAGTTAGTCATCAGCAAAACAATAATGGTGTAGAGACATTGCAGTAAAGTGGCAAATGGATTTCTCAAGAATTCTGTAACTTCCAGTAAGAGGATGTGCTACAACAGGAATTTATGAGCCTCGTGGGTCTCTTCCAGCTCATAAAGTTCTGACTTGTACTCTGGATTGAGAAGACAGCAAACTTAATTCTACCCTTTGTTAATGTATGATCTGCAGGCAGAATCAACAGCATTAAATGTAAAGGGAGGAATAATGGCATCAAATGGGTTATTTGAAAAAAGAAGTTTGATGTATCAGTTAAACCCAATGAGTCTGAAAGCCTTGATAGCCTTCAAAAGTAAGAGAAGCCAGTAGAGTATTTGATAATCTTGACAAGTTGTCTTTGTATATTAGAAACTCTGAAATCTGGAAGAATGTTTTTTTCAGCTGTTGCTCCTGCTGCTCAAAGTGACAGAAAGGGGCAATGGCTTCTTCCTTCATTTTCACCCAAGCTTTGCAATGTTCCACATTGCTGTAGAGCTGAAGAATCTCAGAACAGAAGGCAGGAGACTGATGCTTGCCAGAATTAGGCCCACAAGTAACGACGAGGGGAACGTTTTTTAAAGTATTTGTTAATAGTTCAGGGGTTGTTTTATATCCAAATGTTAAAAATCTCTAAGTGATACTCAGATAAACTGAAGTTTCTCAACATGCATTTTTGAAAATCTTACCTTGGTTTGGAAGCTACTAGCAAGTGTTGTGCTGCTGAGCTCCTCACAAAGAGCTGCACAGCCACAACAGTTGGATTTCAGCTTATTGCAGTAACAAGTGTTGTCTGCTCTAATGACCCATTTTCACATTTTCTTGAATGGATGTTTTGGCACAGGTTTGTTTTTCGTCCTGCCTTGCACAGATAGCTTCATCAAAGTTGATATGAGAACCATCTCTTTTGATATCCCTCCTCAGGAGGTGAGTTTGCATTTGCCTTTGCATCTACTAAAGTCCTTGCAGAATTTTTGAACTTTGTGTACTTTGCTTTTCCTTCTCCTTTCTCAGTACTGGGTAACGTGCACTTTGAATACAGATTCCTTGTGCAGGTGCAGTGTATTGTGAAGAATACATATATCCCCTAGAAATGTCATCCAGTAAGGGAGGAGCACTGAAAGAAAACAGATGATGCTCTGAGGACCAAATGAGATAATTGAATACAGCCTGAGAGCTGGAGTGGGAGGGGTTTGGAGTGAAGGCTGCTGGGCTTCATGCAACATTCCCTAATTGCTTCTGTGAAATCTGGAAGATTTCCAGGCACAGCAGGGATCTGTCCTGTGCCAATTTATCTACATGTATAAACTGGCTCAAGTAATGGGATGAAATTGGTTATACATCAAATGCTATTTATAGGTACTGGGGGAATGAGTGGTCAGCTCCCTCCACTGGGTTTGTGTGCACGTGGCTCCTGTGCCCTGCCCTGCGCATGATGAAGGTGCTGCCACTCCTAACAAACAAAAAACTTACTTTGATTTCTAGTCTGATTTTCCTTGGCCATCCTAATTTTGTAGCAGAATGTCTCCAGAGCATGAAGCCAGCTGAACTCGGTGCTGCCAACTCGATGGATAACAAAAGAATAAAACCCAACCCTCCCTCTAAAAATGCTAGTGAACAATTGTATCCTAATGGTTATAACTGTATCGCTCATGTATCAGCTGCATTTTGTGACACAGAGATGCTCAGTGCAACCTGTGTGGTGCATCTGTTTCCCGTCAGATCTGCTCGTGGGTTTGTTGCTCGTGGTTAGTTGTAGATGGAGACAAATGGCAGCTGTCCTGGTACACTCTAAAGGGTAATTGGGAGAAACCTAATCACTGACAGGCAGAATGTGCTTGCAGCTGCTGATGTACCATTAGTAAGGCCATCAGTAATCCAGTTTTTCTTTTGACTTGATTAAATTACGCTTATGGATTTAGGTTTGTTTGTGTTCCTTATATAGAGGCAGAAATCAATTTCTATTTGTTCAACATGATTTCTATGCATGCTACTCATTCTTTAGCTTTTGTGTTATGAAAAGCCTGCTAAAAGAGGTCTTTTTGGAAGGGACAGGACAGGTAAATCTTGAAGGTAATTGTGTACTGTGGAATGAGGTTCTCTGAGCTCCCCTGTGCAGTGCCACCTGTCCCAGGAGGCTGCAGTCCTGCAGCACAGTCCCCATGGCCCTGCTGTCAGGCTGCCTCACACAGCCCTGGTGAAACCTCGCTGAAAGGCAGCAGAAAGGGGACCTGCCTGGGTATGATTCCTTGCCAGAATCATTGGTTAAACCTCCTCATGTGAAAATGAATTTCAGAGTAAATCATTTCTGCCTTTTCTCTTTTTCCTGTCACTGGTATGACTTGCAGATCCCTCTGTGATTTCGAGGAAGTGGGTTAAAAATAACATTAGGGCAAAGTGAATGGAATGTGCTTTTCACTGAGAAGTTTCTAATCCCATATTTAGTCTCAGCTTTGCAGAGCTGTACCGGGAGGTTTGTGAACACTGGGGCACGTTCACATGCAGCATATGTGTATAAGGACTTTTGTTTTCAAGACAGTGGGAAACCAGGACTTGGTGTAGTAAAACAAATATGTGATTGTTCTAATAATTAACCTTGTATTTATGGAATATTCTGTACTTTTCCCACTGCTGTTCAGATCCTGACCAAGGACTCGGTGACAGTTAACGTGGATGGAGTGGTTTATTACAGGGTGCAGAACGCCACCCTGGCCGTGGCAAACATCACCAACGCCGACTCAGCCACCCGGCTCCTGGCACAGACCACCCTGAGGAATGTCCTGGGCACCAAAAACCTCGCTGAGATCCTCTCTGACCGTGAGGAAATTGCACACAGCATGCAGGTAGGGGCATCTTGAAGCAATCAATCACACAGCAGGTAAAGAGGCAATCCCATGGACTTAAAGGTGGGGATTTATTTTATCTCTAAGTGATCAGTTGTGATTTGGAGCTGTAGGCAAAGCCCTGACAAGATCTCTTGGGAGCACACTCTGTAAAATGAGGGACTAAAGCATTAAGGGCCAGTGGGGCTGGCATGTGGGAATGAGGGATACAGGAGAGGATGACTTCCCTGGATCCTGTGTCAGTCCTTCACTGTCAGTCCTTTCACTGAAGGAAAGTGTGCCACAGAATTCCTTCAATACATTAATCAAGCTCTGGGGGCTTTTGTTACTTTAAAACAGTTGTGCTCTTATAGCTGTCAAATTGTACTACAAATACTAAAGCCTGGGAAGTCTGAGAATTTGAAGAGAATTAATTTGGTTTATTGGTCATTCTTCAAATGTGGCCATTAGTTTGAGGAGGTATGTGGCTTCACTTAGCTGTCCTGCCTTCTGCAGGCCACACTTGATGAGGCAACAGACGATTGGGGCATTAAGGTGGAACGTGTGGAGATCAAGGATGTGAAGTTACCTATCCAGCTGCAGAGAGCCATGGCTGCAGAAGCAGAGGCTGCCCGGGAGGCGAGAGCCAAGGTAATGACATCAGTCTGGGGGCTGGATTTGGTTTTTCCCAAGTAAGAAATGCACCATTCCCTCTCAAACCCTTGTAGATACAAAAAAGTACAGCTTGAGGGAGGAAGTATTTTCAGCTATCTGTGGGGGGGAGTGCCTCTGGTTTTGAGAGGCAGTCCTGGAAGAAGCACAAAAGCTTTTGAAGACAGAATGCTTGCATTGCATTCTCAAGACCTGCTGCCAGCTTTTGTGATCCTGCATTCTGGATGGGAGGAAACCAGGCACTGGGGCCTGGAGAGCAAACAGGAACGGCTTGTGCCTGGTGGAAGCACGTGCCCAGGGCAGGTCACTTACCAGAGTGCTGGGCAGTGGCTGTGGCACCTGCCTAGGGTGAGACCAGCCTGCATTCCCCGTTCCTGCTGTGCAGGGCGAGTTCAGTTGGACCCGTTTTTGTCCCCAGGTGATCGCGGCCGAGGGGGAGATGAACGCGTCCAGGGCCCTGAAGGAGGCGTCCATAGTGATCACGGAGTCTCCCGCCGCCCTGCAGCTCCGCTACCTGCAGACCCTGACCACCATCGCCGCCGAGAAGAATTCCACCATCGTCTTCCCCCTGCCCATAAACATCCTGCAGGGCCTCCTAGGTGGGACGGAGTAGGGGAGGCTGGGAGGGGCGAGCTGGGGGTCAGCCCACGTTTGCAGCACTGAGCTCCTTCTCTAGGGTATCTTGTGGCAGTGTTAGCAAAGTGGGTTTGCTGAGGAACCCTTTTGTTTTACTGAGTGTGTTATAGAACTTGTATGTAATGTTTGTGAATGTGGACAATCGCAATATTTGAAGTTGAAAGCCTCTCAGAAGGAGTACAAGCAGGTTGTGATCTTAAATAAGCTTTATCCATATTCTACACCTCTAATCCAAAACTTCCTTTTCAAATAGAATAAAAAAACAGTTGTGGTAGACATGATCCAATATTTGGAATTACTCCTTCTACAAAATGGGTCTGTAGCCCTGCAAGGGAAGTGGAATAGTATCCTGGGGGCTTCTGAGAATCAAGTTAATGCTCTCTAAACCAGTCCCCATTGATGAAAAACAGTTGTTAGTGGAATTTTCTGTCTTTCTGCCACCCAGGAATGGCACAAACATGCTGAGGTATGGATACAATGTGCTTGTGGTCACTGATGGGCTGCTGTTGTTATGAGGCTGTGTCTGCATAGAGTTACACTGCTTTAAAGCACTGAAAAGGCTCTGCATCTGTTTCTCCTAAAAATATTTTTAAAAAACCAAAGTGCTGCATTTTGTCTAGGAATTTCTCTAGGAAATGACATGTCTGTAACTAGCAGGGAGGAGTGGTGTTCAACAGAAGGTGCTGCACTGGTGCTTTACCTGTTGGTGCTGCTCTGTGCAGACCTGGAGTGGTTGTTGTGTCAATAAGGGCTTACATTTCATCCTCAAAGCAGCTGGGCCTCAGCTCACATAAGCCAAGCTGTTAAACTTCCTGTTTTGTACCCCTGTAGAACGGATTAATAAAAGAAGAACTGGATTCAGCATAGGAAAGACTCGTCAGGCTGCCACCAGCACTGAGTCTGACATCTTTAAAGTCTGGGACGAGGCAATGGAACTGAAATGCCAAGAACACTGATGTAAGTGCCCTTCTCCCACTGGCCAGCATAAGTCCATAAGTAGTTTCTTATGCCCTTTCTGCTCCAATCAGCTCTGTATTTACAGGTGTTTTAGGCCTGGGTACCTGTGCCTCGACACGCTGTGCCTTTGTCACTGGCAGGAGATGCCCAAGTGCTGTTGTTTTTCTGCCTGTCTGCTGGGCAGGTTTTCCTCTGCATCACCAAAGCAATATACTCTGTGTTTGTCAAGGTGGCAACTGATGTAAACTGAGCTTAACTTCTGGCTGGGAGCGGGAGGAACAGTTACAAAACTGGAATAATTAGCATTGCTGTGCTCAGGCACTTGGAGTGGGAAGCAGAGCAACTGCACAGCTCCCGGTTAATCCTTGGGGAAGATGAGTCACCCTGTAACTCCCGCTGCTGCTGCTGCAGGTGCCACCCCTGTGAATTCTTGTTGATACCACGAGATGCTTTTTGCTCTCATCCTGAATAAAAAACATGCTGTTTACTAATGAGTTTCTGAAAGAGTGAAATACTGTTTGTCATGGTCTCAAATGCATGTAATTCTGAAGAGGGGAAAGCAAAGCAGACCCAAACTCCTCGAAATAATTTCTGTAACCTTTTACTAAAAGGTCTATGTGCAAAAGATGGCACAAAGAAGGTAAGGTGTGTTCAAACATGGAGTCTCTACAGCTGCTCTTTAATGTTTTCTTCGTAACAAACCCCACCATTTCCGTTCTTCCCATATTTCATACAAGCTTTATTGTATTAAATATCATCAAAGCAAGAAGTAGGGTCAATGACTGATCGTGATTGTTTTCGGAAATTATTGCACAGCTAATTGGCTATTAACATCATTCCCTCTTTAACATACATCCTGCAGGAGGAAGGAGCTCTTGAAGGCATTGAAGGCACTGAACTTGCTCTGTTTCAAACATTCCTCACACATCCACATCTGCCATTGCTCTCTGCAGGGGATCCACAGCCCAGTAGTCATCGTCCCAGCCCAGGAACCAGCCGGAGAAGGTGGGAGGCTCAAAGCCCTGTTTGACGATGGTCACCGGGGTCCTCTTGTCCCGCGAGGAGGGGTCTGTGTCAATGTAGCGCTTGGCTGGGGACACAGGGAGGGGAGCTCGCTGAGCACCAGGCCTGCAGAGCAGCAGCTCAGCTGGGGCTAAATGGCTGCCAGAGAGGCAGCTTCACATCGGCCACTTGAACACAAATACCCACTGAAAGTTTGTGCCCTATGGTTTTACCTATGCCTGCCAGAGTATAAATTGCCTGAGTCATGATCACACAGTGAGAAAATGAGAAAGGGACAGTTCAGAGAGGAAAATGTGACATTACCAGATTTCAGTGCCTCAGTCTTTTCTTCTTCTTGTGCATCTTTCCCAATCCATACAAAGACCTAAAGATAAAAATACTAATTACTTCAGCAACAATCATTCTCTTTATGAAGGGATAATTTAGAAGGAACCTCAGTGAACAGTGTGACACAAACCAAAAAATCGTCCTGTTGGTGTGCCCGCATTGTTGACCAACATGATCAAAGCTCTATTGGTCAATAATGGGAAGGTTTTTGCCTGCATTTTATCTACATACATTGTATACCCTTGAAAAAAATCTACACTAGCTTAACATCAGGGGAAAGTTAGCAGACCTTGAACATTTTTCTATAAAACATCAAAATTCAGCTCCGAGTTGACTTGTGGCTGATGTGTGCTGAATCTGTAATACAACAGCACCTCTGGCTATTGTGGCTCAGGTCTCTCTCTAGAGCCAATCTGTGCCTATTCTGTGCTCCTCTTGTCCCCCTGTAAATGTGACATACCTGATCCCATGTGTCCAGGAGCATCACATCATCTGTGGCAAGGTCATCCTGAGTCAGATCTCCAGGAACTTCTTCAATCTAGAAAACAGAGGGTTCAGATGAACACAGGCTTCAGGACAAACCACACGAAGGAAGATCAGGTGGAAGCTGGTGGGGGGCTCAGAGCAGCTGGGCCTGAGCTTCTCTGTCAGGTGGATGCTGGATGAATCCCCTGGACACTCACGGTGAAGCGCCCGCTCTTGTTGGAGCACGCGAAGAGACGCGGGGGGTGAGCGTCCATCTTCTTGTCCTTGAGGCGGGGCGAGGTGCGATACGGAGCTTTGCCACCCAACGCTGCCCAGAAATTCTCTGGAAAACAAAGACCAATGCTTCTGTTCAAGGAACCCACACCAGGGTTGTGGTTTGGGCAGGACTTGAAGCATTTTTCCAGGTCAGAAAGTCCCAATGGCCTTCAGACATTAATGAGAGCACTGTTGAACAATAAAAATAACCCCAAGAAGCCCCTCTTGCCCATGTCCACATCTTCTTGTTCTGGGAGACAAAATATCCATGAAATAATTGCTGAGGATGTGCAGCTACACAGAAATTATCAGAGACTCCACTGTGACCTCCTCACCTGGTTCTTTGCCCTCAGCAACCTGTACTGAGCGAGCTCCCAGTATCTTCAGCAGTTCCTGTGCTCCTGATTTCTCAGCGTTGCTGGCTCCTTGGCCAACCCACAGGTAGGCAGCAGAGGGAGTTTTCAGGACAAAGGCATCATTGGAGTTCAGCTGACTGGCTGTAGGATCCAGCTGAAAAGAAGGAATACTGCAGGTGTCAGGTGTAACCATCCACTACACAAAGCCTGTTACTTCAAAACCAAACCAGAACCTACAGTTGAATAAACTACAACAAGATTTTCCACATGAGCATGTAAGGCTATCAGATGTGCTGTATATTCCCTGTGTCCAAGTGATGAGATAGATTTTCCACATGGGAAGAGTAAATAACTGTTTCAGTGTGTGACTACAGGTACACATGACCTCTAGCAGGAATGCCTGGCTGTCTTTGTGCCAGTCCTGGTGCTTATAGTGGGAGCTTTAGGAGCTCACTGGGGAGCCCATGGCAGAACAGTCCCTGCTGTCAACACTGATCAATCATTAACACCAACTCCTCTGTGTCAACAAGGACAAGTCTCTTGAAGCTGGAAACTTGGGGAGTCAGCCATAAGCCACTGCCCTCTCCTCATCAGGATTTAATTTCCTCTTTGCTGTTGCACAGAGGTGTTTGTGTGCATTTTCTCTCAGAGAAGTGGGGCTCTGAACCCATGTCTGACCCAGGTTCCTCTTCCATGGAGGGAACAGAACTCTTCAGTGGATCATGTTCCCATTGTGGGCTGTGCAAACACCGAGGCTGCCTCTCCCTCCACGTACCTCCACTGCTCTGGTGGCTCCGGAGGTGCTGGAGCGGACCTGGAACAGCCGCGTTGCCGCAGGGGCAGTCTGGCCTCCTTCCCTCGAGGTTCCACCCTTGTAAACAACCAAGGGCTTTCCACCAAACATGCTCATCAGGTGAGGAGGCTCTTTGCCTTGCACTACCCGTTTCTGAAGAAAAAGAAACTTGCTGTCAGTTTTGAGGGGCACAAGACTAACCAGAAATGGCTTTTACAACCCTCTGTTGAGCTAGAATATTCACAGAGCACCCAGCTGGGGCAGGTGTTTAATATATGTATATATTCTTTATTCCTCCAGTGTTAGCAGTGTTAGGGTTGCTCTGCTGGGTCTCTTTACCTGCACGGGGCTGCCTCCCAGCTCCTCATCCAGCTGTACCGTGAGGAATGCAGAGGTTGCAATCTCATCCTGTGTGGAGTCGGCGCCCTGCCTGGAGAACAAGGCCAAATCCCAGTTTTATTCTCAACCTTTTCCCCAGCCCCACACCTTACAGAGATCAAGAGAAGTTAAGGAAACCCTTTTTAACTGAATCTCTGCAGCACTTCCTTCAACACAAAGGAGAAATTCCTTATTCTCTATTGTAGCACAGTGAGTACAGGGGGAGATAAGAACCTTTCCTAGATAAGCAGCATTTTCCTAGATAAGCAGAGCTTGATCCAAAGAAGGGAGTAATAACCAAGGGGGGGAACTGGGAAAAAAAAAGCTCCACACAGTAATTGCCTCCATTGTTCCACTTCAAATGAAACATCCCAGACCTCTGGTATTGTTTTGTTTGCAAGGGAAAGTTATCCAGGGTGAAACTTTATCCCCCAAAGATCCTCTGAAAGCGGGAACCAGCAGTGATCGATTTTCCGAGCGGACTCGCAGCCCCACGCAGCCCCAGCGTTTCCTGCCCTGCCCCAGGGGAAGTCCCGTACCAGGTGTAAATGATCTGTCCCCGCTTCCCGTCGTGCTGGTAATCGTACAGGATGATGTAGCTGTCCCCGCCGTAGAACTGCCCATACGTGGCGGGGTCCACCGGCACCTTCTCGGAGCCTTCTATTCTCCAGATCTGGCGGGAGAGGAGCAGAGGCGCTGCAGAGCGAGCCC